CCAACAAGGACAGGCTACCCAACGCCCTTGTCACCAAACAAATCACTGGACTGTACTCTGTTCTATGTGATTATCCCAGGAGGGGTGTCAGTCCCCAGACTGGATCAGGGTACAACAATGAAGAAGCCCACTCACATCAGTCCTCTAGCAGATAATGATCACCAGAGCCAAGGGTAACCCTCCTGGTGGCAGAGAGGCCAGTAAATTTCCTTCTTGATACTGGGGCTGCCTACTCTGTCCTCCTCACCTACTCCAGAAAACTGAGAACTCAATCCTGTATGGCCACTGAAGTCTCTGGAGTCCCTACTAAATAATTCTTTACTCTCCCTTTGCTTTGTTTGTGGGAGGACATGAACATTAACCATTCATTTCAGGTAATTCCTACTTGTCTTGTCAACCTGCTAGGATGCAACTTGCTTTCTAAGCTGGGAGTACACGTTTCTTTCTACTGATAGAAGGAAACTAGCCACATAGGCCTGTTACATTATGGAGAACATTATGTTCTCCAGTTGTATCCATGTTGTCGTAAATAACAGGATTTTATTCTTTTTATGGCTGAATAACATTCCATTTTTTAAGTCTACTACATTATCTGTATTCATTAATCCATTGATGGACACTTTGGCTGATTCCAAATCTTTGCTATTGTAAATACTGCTGCAACAAACATGGGAGTGCTGATTTCTCTTCAATATGCTGATTTCCTTTCCTTTGGTTATATACCTAATAGTAGGATTGCTGGATCATATGGTAGTTCTGTTTTTAGCTTTTTGAGGAACTAAGTGTTCTTATATACCTTATCTAAACATGGTCATTATACACTTATGATATTACATATTATCATAAAACCCTCAGTCTCTCACCTTTTTTTATGGAAGGGTAAAACCTAGATATATAAAAAAAAAACTTTTGCTAAAAATCTCAAAAAAAGTAAAATATAAGCCCAAAGATCTTAATCTGATAGTTATAGGCAATAAAAAGATTCAAAAATCTCTTTTAATTGTTTAATTGATTAGACTTTAACAGTATCAGAATATGCTCACCATTGGACTAATCTGAAGATATAAAAAGTTAGAGAGGACAAATTCCTTCCTTTGAGGTTCTTATGACCTAGACAGGGATCATAAAAAGAACAGAAAATGTAAAGAAGGAAACAAATGATTGAAAACTTAGACTCTTAGCTTGAGAGATATGACAAATATACAAAAATAATGAGGGATTTTTGCCAAGGTTTCCTGGAGAAAGGAAATTTTTTTAAACCATATTTTGAGGTGGGAAGGAATGTGATCAACAGTAGTGCCCATGGTAAATCATTCTTATTATTGTTGCTACTACTTATTTCACAAACATTAATATTTCTTTTTCCTTTGAAGGATTATGTTATTGAGTGTTGAAATACTACTTTACTTGGGACTCTGTTTAGCTTCTGATGTTTATGAGAGAATAATAACTTTTCAAAGCAGGCCTATGGTTACTCTTGTTTTTATTAAACAAGTTATTTATTAATTGACAAGGATGTTTTCCAAGGAATATATGTCATCAAAGTATTAAAATCTCCCAGACAGAACAGCAAAGTTCAGAGTCAATATTTGTTTTTCCAAAGTAATGAGTGGTAACAAAGAACCTGAAGACATAACAATAGCACCAATTGGAATGTTTTGCCCTGGAGATTGTGAAGTTGATATTATATATACACAATAAAAATGGTAGTGACTTAGTCCAGTAACTGTATTCAAGTAGTAAACAAACACCAGGCCACAGAGATGCCTACCAATTCCAGAAGATATGTTCAGAAGCGCCTCTTGGTTTGTGATAACCCTTTTGATTGTTAGCAAATGCCCATGCAATAGAATAGCATTTCTAACAGTGTGAAGAATAAGAACAGGACACCATGAAACTTCCTGCATTAATTTAATACCAACCCCAAGCAATATCTTTCCTAGTTTTTGGAAAAGAAAAGAATATGTGAAAGTAATTTAGCTTGGGAACTCTAGTTCAAACCTGTGGTCCAATCTGCCAAACTGTCAGAAATAGTAGATGTGCTTCCTTTGCCTTTATAGTTGTTTATATTCCTGAATTTTCCTGGCACCTAAAATAATTCCCATTGTCTCACTAGCCCTCCTCATACAAAAAATAAGATATTAAAATTCAGTTTTCTTTGCTTATTGTTTCCCCTGCAAAATATAAATCAAATTCATTAGATAAAACTTGCCTACGAAGGCAATTCTGGTGAAAGGCAAAAGAAAAGCTGCAGCAATTACTTCTCTACCTTTTTACCCTTAGTTTCTGTTCATGTTGATTACAGTTTTCTGATAATTCCATAGCACTTTGCATTACCAGACATGTTTCCTTAACCTCCCCTTTCAGAGCTCTCAGAGAGTGAGCAGGAAAGTAACTAGAGTCAAATCTTTACTTTTCCTAACAGGCAACAGACTCTTACAAAGGTGAACCAATGGTGCTGAAATGTAAAGTTAGTTTTTAGGTATTCAAGTCATGAGGATAAGGAGACTGAAAAAATCTATCTCAGGAAATTTTGTCAACACAGCCATGGGACTGTTGTTTAATAAGTTATTTTTCTTTATATTCTTTCTTTTTTTCCTTTACAAACATTGTTAAAGTAATAATTTCTACAAGGTACAATAAGACCTATATAACTATAGATTATTAATATCACACATATATGGTTCTAGGCCTATAGACCTGATGTGGTTCATATTCATCCTGAACCATGGATCCCATTTAAATTCTTGGGTGTTTTCCACATATAGGTCAAAGATAAAGATACCACATCAGAACCAACCTTAGAAAGGTGCTCTCTTTTAGTAGCATTATGGCAACTTGCCTGCAGCCCCTGAAAGGAGACATCCAGGTAAAACAGCTCTGCCCCTTACTAGCTTATATTTGGACACTTTTGCATGTTATTATTCTCACACTCTAAAATGAAGATAACTACCTCTTTTTCCTATCAATATGATTTTTAAGAATTATTATTCTTTGTTAAGAACATAAAAGCCAAAATGGGGGAATACTCATTTCTAACTCTGTGTGTCTGCTTTTTTCATCTAAAAAAAAAAAAAGACTAAGAGAACAATGACACTTGTATAGTACTGTGTATAAGACTATTAATTATGACAACGTACAAAGCACCTGGGACACAATAGGTGTTTAATAAATATCCCTTCCCTTCTCCACCAATTTTCCATTTTCATAAATGGGTAAATTCCATTTGAAATGTTGGCAGTCTAGATCAGTACCGTTTTATTGTTTCTCAGCTACCTCCTGACCCTATTCTTATCTCATCGCACATCATCTTCCTGTATTTCCTGGCCTGTCCCTTCCCAGGGCCAAGGTCTTTTTCCATGTCCCTTACCTGGGCCATCGCTTTGTGGCCTGTCAGCGATGACTCCTCTGGCTAGCTTTAGCTGCTGGAGCCAGCGGCGGCGACTCAAAGACTAGAGTGGGTTAAAGCAACTGCCAGCTGGGGCTGATCCCTCCCAACCTCATCCTTCCTGCTCATCCTCCTCGCTGTCTGGCCGCAGAGAAGGCGCAAAGGCATCACTGGAGTGATGACATGCGGCCCTCTCCCTTCTTCACCCTTCACATTTTTCTTTCCACGTGCAGAACCGGGAAGACTCTGACCGCCCTTGCCCTCCTGGTCGCCATGGTTACACAACAGCAGCAGCACAAGACCCAGGGGAGGTCTCATACCATCTCCTTTACCTCTGCCTCGGCCTTCCCCTCCCTGTTCGGGAATCCTACCCGCCCCCCTCCCCCCTCCACACACACACTGGAGCACACTCTCAGGAGAACCCTTTTTTGGCTAAACTTGAGACTTTGGGTCTTCCCTCCTCTTCTTTTGCTTGTGCACATAGCATTAAACTACGGGGAATTGGTGGAGAAAGAGGGTGCTATGTGGAGAAAGAAGTCCACGTGAAGACAGTTGCCTTTTATTACGCCTTCACTCTAGGCTAAATAGCGAAAAGTTTGCTTATTTTTATTTAAGTACGGTCCCTATCACACGGAATCCGGGACATCCGCGCCGCCAGCTGCCGGGCGCGCGGCTCGCGTCCAAGGCCCTGGGTTCCAGACCGCCCCGCGAGAGCGCGGCGTCTCCTCCTCCTGTCAAGTCCCCTCTTTGCGCCGGGACGCAAGCAAAGCGACTAAGCCCAAGAGGCTGAACTGAAGTCATGTGGGAAGGAGAAGCAGACTGTGGAAAACCGGCACTGCGCCGCCAGGGCAGCCCATTAACGCGTTAACTCCGGGCGCCCCGGGAGGAAGCGGGCAGAAAACACCCCGGGGGCGAACTCTAGGTTAAATGCCCAGCAGGAGTCAAATCAGGGCCTTTCAGAGCGAGCCAAGCCCCGTACTACAAAGGGATTCCCCGCTCCAACAAGAGAGCGTTTTGGCTTAACCGCACCTCACAGCCAGCCAACTTTATGCTGGCGTCTGACTCCGACTTTCCCTTCTGGATGGAAGGATACACACTTCCATCAGACTGAGCGTCGCGATTCCCTCGCAAGGAAAAAGGCGTCGCCCATCCCTCTCCCAAAGCGCCACAACAAAAACAACCACCACGCTCTCCTCTTCCCTAACCCCAGCCCACCGGGAAGAGGAGGGAGCGAGGGCGCGGATGCCCTGAGGTAAAGTCCTCCCCAGACGGTCCCCACCGACGCGTCTCGAAATGAACCTGCCGCGAGCGGACGCCACAGGGCAGGTTCAGAAAAGCGCTCCCGGCTCCCTCGACCCGGGAGGATTAGGGAGGAGAGAGCTGGGAAGCCCAGGAGAGAGCAAAGTTCCCGGACACGTCTCGGGAGGAAAACTTTGTGCAGTGCTGGCAGGCGGGGGCTCGGGATGAGTCGGCTCGGGCGGCGCTGAGGCGAGGTGGAACTGCGCCCCTACTGCCCGCCGTCTCGGGCGCCGCGCTCACCGGCCGTCGCTCCCCCGCGACCGGGCAACCGGTCCGCTCCCCTGCGCGCCCACTCCCCGTCCGCTCCCGAGCGCCTCCTCCGTCCCACGGCTGCTCCTCATCTCCCAGCCTTATCTCCGCATCCTGACTTCGGACCCACCGCCACCCTCAGTCCAGTCATCCCCTCAGACCACCGCGGGCTCCAGCACGCCCTCCCACTGGAGTAGCAGGTGACCCGAAACCAGACTTACCTGATGTGAACTCTTCTCTCCCTCTCCCTTCTTCTGATACCTTTTCAGTGATCGAGGACCGGGTTGCGGGCTGAGGTCGAGCGACTCGGCGACCTGGGGCACCCGCGCGAATTCCTCTGAGCCGCAGCCCTGGCTGAGCCGCGGAGCCGCCGGCGGCCCTGGCGGAGCTCGGAGGCTGCGGCCGCAGAGGCCAAGCCCGGAGGCAGGGGGCGCTGCTGCCTCCCCCCGGCGCCGCGCGGGCACAGGCGGAGAGCGAGACACCAGCTGGGGCTTTGGGGAGGCGAGGGCGGCGCGGAAAGGCACGCTCCAGGCAGGAGGGCGGCTTTTAAGTTTGTGGTGTGACCGCAGCAGCTGTCCTGGGAGAGACTCGGTCTTTCTAAAAAGGGGATGCTGAAAACGCCGGGGATTACCTCTCCCCTTCCGATCTCCTCCCCCAGCCCCTGGCCCCCCTTCTCTGTGCGCACTCCAGTCCTCCCCGCGTGCAGAAGTTCATCCTGCCTGCGCGCAGGCTGCTGGCGGCGTGGATTTAGAGGTAGCTCTGGCCGTGCCCAGGGATGTTTTTCCAGACAGAGCACCCTATCTGTAAAGCAATCAGATGCCTGAGCACTTGCCTGGGTGATTTGGGGGACCTGTTTATTCCCTTTTATATGCCCCCCCCCCGAGATTTTTAAGGACCTCGTGAGGAAGAAATAGGGGACGTGACTGACCACAGACATTATCCTAAACATTCTAACTCCCCAGGGAGTACCTGTGTTCTACTATGTAAAACCTCAATACACAGTTAATGCCCTTGAAGGAGTAGGTACTGGGAAGACGAACAGGAATTAGCTCTGCAATAAGCTGGCATCTGAGAAGGGCCAAGCAGAAAGAGAAAAAGGGCATAACGTAAGCTTTTTTCCCCTTTTCCTCCCATCAGGACAACTGGGGTGTATCATGTATTTTTGTCTTGGGAAGTTTCTTTGGCAGATTTTTGCACCCCTTGATCCCACATGAAGAAACTTAGAAGTATATGGGGAGGAGGAGCAGATCTATGTTTTGTGGAACCTGGAACCTACAAAATTTGAAGGTAGGATCCTCTTTAAGAAAAAAAATGCAGAAATAGCTTACTTGTACTGATTGTACAAAAACATGACAATGTGAGCTAGGGAGGCCACCCTCAGGTACATGAAAAGGGCCTGTGAAACTGATGAGTGCTGAAGGTTAGGCCTTAATAGCTGCATGGTAAATCGTTTTGTGATGGAACTCTAGGTTTGCAGTCACAAACTTTGCCTTAGTCCCAAATATAAAGCTGACTTGGGCTAGAGCCATGGAAAAGCTATGATTTAAGGGCTGTAAGGTCCCAGAAATCCCTTAGCAAATGACAAGGGGTGTCTTGGTTTGGGAATGGTGTACAAACAACCACAATAATAATGGAAAACTGGAAGGGTTGGAAGGGATTCTTCAACCTCCCATCTACAGCAGAAAGTTGAGGGCCACAGACGCTAAATGAGTGATTTTAAGTTATAGATAGTTGATGGCAGAGTTAAGCTAAGGAGAGACTCAAGTTTCCCAACTCTCAAGGTTTTTTCCTGTGTCTCATTCTGCCCTATCTTTATAACCTTGGTTTTGATTGTCTACCAGCCAACCAACCCCATAATTGTTCTCTTTGGATAGAGGAAAATTTAAATCCCCATGGACTAGTAGTTGACTAATAGTCAACCTATAGCAACTTTTTTTTCCTGAATGCTTTATATTAAATGATACACCACTCATTTTGTAATTAGTCATACTTCCAGTGTGTTTCATCCATTTTTATATGTTTTTGTATTATTTTTGTTTATGTCATTGCCCCTCCTTCCAAATTGCATGCTCATTGTGAGAACAGAATACTTTTTTTTGTCTCCAACAACATAACTTAGGACTTAAATATGGTGGGTTCATGATAAGTAGTTTTTGATTTTTAAAAAATTCTCTATTTATTGATTTTCTGATAATTTTGTCAGTTATTTTGGCCAGAATATTGTGTTTAACTAAAATTGTGGTTAACTCTGTATTTTCCTTGTATTCTTTCTGTTAAATTTTAGTTTAATATACTCAAACCAAATGATACTTCCCCTTTGCTACCATTTCAATCCTTTCCATAAAGTCCCTACAGAATTAATCATTCCCTCTTGTTTTCTTAGAGCACTTTGACTTCACTGCTATTATAATCTCTTTTCATGTTATATAATAATTAGTTTTGTGTATGTCTGCATCCCATACAAAAACATTGGTGGTTTTGTATCTTTGTTTTCCCAGCCTCTAATACAATGCATATGAATTTGTATTAAGCTAATTTATTAGTTTGAGGTACCCTGACTTCAAATTTAGACTGAATTCACTTGGCTCTCCTGAATATACCATGATAAAACAAAATCTGGAGCACAGGTTCTGTGCTTTCCTTCTTTTTAATTACTACAAGGGCAAAGCAGACAGAATAAATAGACATAGCACAGAGTGGTGATGAATGACCTCAGCTGTGTCCAGGCTTTGTAGTACTTCCTTGAATGTCTTCATTGTGGTAGGTGTTTAAAAATTATTTTTGTGTTAAATGAGTTAATAAAAACAGTAAATATGATGATGGTATTCAGCCATTGAATTTAGTACTGAGTTTTTATTTACTGTATAGGATCTCACCAGCATGGCTTTAACAACCCTTTCTACAAGTTTGAGATCTACTCTCATCAAAAGCAATTAAGTAGTGTGTCCTATAATCCTTACAATAAAATCCAGGAGGACAAAAATTCTATTTTACATAAAGTTTTGCTAAAATGTAAGAGTAATGTACAGTTTAGCTTGTCTCCAAGGATGACTATTCAGGATTCAACAAGTGATCCTTAATGACACTGAAAGAGATGCGTATATCATCAGCTAGAATTACTTAATTGCTGTTGGTGTGCCTGCTTCTGTCAGAGAAAAAGAGGAGAATGAAAAGTAATAACTCCCAGGTTCTTGGAAGAATTATTGAATAAGTAAACTCTGTGTCTGGAGAATCCAGGCTATTCTTCTGAGACATCCTACTCCTCACCCATCTCTCTTCCAGCTCATAATAGAATCCGAATAAGTCATTTTCACTATATGGTAGTAGATATTTTTTGATAATGGGAAGTACATTATTTATCAAAGAATTCCATTTTATTGCCAAATGAAGGTAAGGAATAAAATTCTAATTGTATAATTTCAGTAATCATCAATCTATGAAGGGAGCCATGGGAGAGGATGACAGGGATGGGTAAAGGTAGAATAGGTATATTGCAGGGTTCTCTAACTTCACATATAGCTACCTCTGCCCAGAATACAGGAGAAAGATAATTACTGGGTCTAGAATTTAAATCTGGCAGGATCTCAGAGGATTTGGCTGTGCTCTCAGCAGAAGATACCAAACTATAGTTCTTTACCAACAAAATCTGCAGTCCCAGTTCTCTCAGAACAATCTTATATTCACAAGTCAAATGCATATTTGGTCAATTTGGAAGAATAACTGCAAAGTTTATGCACAGAAGCAAACTAAGAAAATGATGTTATAAAACAAGCTATTTAGTGCTTAATTTCTATAAAACTCATCATACATTTGTCATACATAAAACTTTTCTGTCTTAGAACAAATACTATACAAATGTTTTCTCACATATCACAGTACTACACAGTACTGAAAAATATGAAATGTTGTTATCTTCATATGAGAAAACTAGAATATATGTTAATTTATGTTTAATTGGAACAAGTGAAGGCATGAGTTGAAAGCAGCTCATTCAGTTACTAATCTTCTATTAGGTATTTTCCCCTTATAAATTCCAATTATTTTTTCCATCTACTTCATTTGATTGCTGCAATCCACTCATCACTGGATTATTAGATATTTACATTATAAAATCATTTGACATGTTTAATGATGGAAAAGAACACGCTTGACTTTTATCTTGTATTTCAGTATTAATTACACATACACAGAACTCTCAGAAGTGAATATATCACCATTTCTCATCATCAGGCAGAGACAGAAGTTAGTTTATTGTTAGTTAATCGAAATGTAAAACTATCTGAACTTTGCTTCATGTCCTCAAATTTAAACTCTTGTAACATCATAAATAACAATAAACATTCAGTTAGTAGGAGAGTTCTTAAGACCTTCTAGCCTTCTTATTATATGTGAGGAAATCAGGGCCAACAGAGACATAATGATCACTCAGCTTCTTCTGACCTCTGCCTCACTGCCCTCTCTAGAATACTTCACCTTGCTATAGAGCCATTTCTTGAAAAAAAAAAAAAAATCAGCTATTTTTCAAAACCTTTCCAAGCCAGAATCTTAAGGTTATATTTACTTAGCTGGGTTGGGGTGTGGTGAATAATTAAATTCAGCAGGAATGTGCTTCAAAATAAAAATAAAAACACAACCCAGCCTCTTTGGCCCAAATCCTGAGACCTCAGAAAAGAAAAACCTCCTTGACTATGAACATTCTCTAGAAGCCGGAAAGGTTTTCCATGCCTGATATAGGAGTCTGCATAGCTGTTGCAGAATGGGAGAGTTTAAAGTCAGTGAAATGACTCTGTTTTTGATTTGTAACAATGTACTTATGTCAATAAATAATCCCCATGGAAAGATTTTAAGGAAAAACAAACAACTTTCTATGTATCACATAAGAAAAAAAAATCAACTTTAAGTTTACTTTCTTTTTAATACCTTCATACCACCACCACTTCACTTGTAGAGCATATTTTAGATATAGTAGTGTATTCTTCCAGGAAAATGGAAGTGGGAAGAGGATTCCTATGACACCCAATTGAGGCAAGCCTTATTTATATAAGGGTGATGAAATGAAGAAAAATATGCCCTCTTGTGGCTTATTTGTTCTGGTTCACAACTAATCAACAGTACTCTATTATTTCCTGAAACCCAAACATACCTATATTCCAAGTGGAATTAAACTATTTCTTTGTGCAGTAACTGGCAAGAGTAGGTCCATACAGACAGCATGCAGGCATTCCAAGACTTCTGCTTTGTTAGAGGTCATGAGCAGCTGCTTAGCCGCAATGAAATCAGTATCCCTGAAAGTGAGGGAAGGTTTTCCAAAATAACCCACAGATTTGTACAGATATTATCAAAATGCCTTCCAAATAAATGCATTAGATAGAATTTCTTTCCTAAATATTGAGGTTTGCTTTGGATAGACTTAAACCACCAGTTTCCACAAATAGGAGAAAATTCATGATTTCCTTTTCTACTGTATTTGTGCCTTTACTATATCTCTGACTGTGAGATATGCTTATTTTTTCCATTAAAAAAGTAAAGTATATAATAAAACAGTTAAGAGAACAGTGATTTTAATTCTGTAAATATTTTTCTTTCCATGTCCCCTAGTTTGCTCAGATATAAGGATGTAAAAAGTGTGTTTCATCCATAATTTTCAGATATAATTGATTCACAATATCACAAAAAATGGCCACCATGTTTTCCTAAATTAGCAAAGTGGAGATGAGTTTAATGGGAAATAGCATCTGTTGATCAAGAAAATGACTTCCACACAAACTGTGATTTAAATAACCTAGTAACTAAGGAAATGTCAAAGGTTTAAAACAGGCCAGATTGCTAAATTCTTAATTCAACTAGATAATAATTACCATTATTTTAACATTATTATTATGTAATGAAACTTAAAGTTCAATGACTTAAAATCCCACATTTACCATTTGACTGAATTTGCTTTGTTCATTAAGTGTACTGCACCCTTACAGATTAGAAAGTTATGTAGTTACAACAAGTTATGAAATAGACAAAATTGTATCTTACTAATCAGAAAGAATAAATGCAATGTCTCAAAGTATCCAATTTAATGTATGAAGCTATTTCTTTTCTAAGGTACAAAGTAACATGGAATTTTATTGTTTTAAGTTTATTTAGTTCAGTAAATATCTGACCCATGAAGCACAGATATACTTTCATTAGAATTATTATTTGTAAAGAATGTTCATAAAACAGTTCAGGTTTTTTTAAATTAAATTTTTAATTTAGTGAATAATATTGACAAATTGCATTCTCTTTTTATATGA